GATGGCTGCATGCGCGAGTGTTAATTCACATAGAAATTGCACTCGAATATACACACAGAAATCGCATTTAAATATTCACACATAAATCGTATTTGTGGGAAGCATTCACTCGCGTGTGAACGAGGCTGCCGGCGACAACGCGGCTACACATGACGGTGCCACGAAATTTGCTGCAACTATGCAACATGTTCTGCTTGCATCTATGACAAATACGACATACGCATATACGCTCTCCTATGACACTATTTGTCATAGGAAGATTCTTACCTATGACAAATATTGTTGTATGTTGTTTTGCGCATCAATGGGTTTAGGAGCGCTATTATGAACGCAAGCAGTGATTTGCAGCTGTAAAGCGAACGAAGTTGACTGCGACAATATTTGTCATAGGAAGGAATCTTCCTATTGACAAATAAGTTCATAGGAGAGCGTATATGCGTATGTCGTATTTGTCATAGATGCAAGCAGAACATGTTGCACTATCGACCGTGTGTGCACCTAATACGATCATCTCCTCCCCCCCGAGCCCCCTCACCCGACGTCCGCCGTCGACCTCGTTCGTTTTGTATCGCGTCGTTATATTTGTTTGCCATGGCGTAGCGTAGCGGGCGCCGTGTCGTTTCGGCTTTCGACTAGAAATAATAGCGAGTTAGACGATTACCGCTTCCCTTTTGCTACAGTATTCTGCTGAGTACACGTTACCTTCAAGTTGCATCACGAAAATCGCTCGCAAAACCCGTGTAGAATATACGATATAGAGATAGTCGTGTGTTCGTGCACGCCTGCGTTCGTCCATGCGTACGCGTGCATGAGTAAGCGGCCACCACTAACAAATAATAAACACAAGATAATAGGCATTGATGAAAGACGACGTAATTCATTTCAATTAGTATAGTATATATATGTATATATGTATTACATATATATATATGTATACATCATAATATATATATATATATATATATATATATATAATATATATAAACTGAGAATATACAAAATTCCAATTTCCTGCGTTGTACCGAAAACACCAATTTGTACTAATACTAATTTTACAATTTCTGTATGTTGCACGTGCTACTCCGTTTAACGAAAATATTACATTTAAATTTGAAATCATTACGATACAATTACAGATTTAATATAAGGTACATATTCCGCCTACCAATAAGCGCAACGACACATGTAGAAACCGTTGTTTATATAGACGGTAATAAGCATGTTCTTTTCTTATCGATTTAAAGATAAGAATGGCACGCCGAATAATATAGAGAATAGCATAGTTAGTTAGATATAAAAAGCTTAATTGAGCGTGCCACCTCGGTAGATTAACAGGACAATTACCTAACATTGCTCAACAATAGAATAGTACTCTCCTTTGTCTCTCGGACGACGTGTCTTCAACACTGCTTTGAAAATAGTGTATGCAATAATGCAAACACTAATATTTTCATATTTTTCCACATTGGCTATGGCTTACAAACTTATCTCGCATAAGGAACGAGAAGGTGAATTGACGAAGATGCGTGTGCATATAAAATAAATTACCATATGGTAATTTTTAACCTTTAAAAGACCCTAAAGTGTAAGCATTTCAGGGAAGCAAATCCGATGCCTAAGGATTGCTATCAATGACATCGTTACCACGATCATCTCTAACAGCACCATCTGTGCGGACGACCGCGTCGGATCCACTGTCAGCAGTAGTGCTGCAAGTGCACTGACAGTCTTGACAACCGACGATGTAAGCAGTCACGTCCTGGTTTATGCAGTTCTGCTGCCAGGCGAACCTAAATGGACAAAAATTAACAATATTAGTGAAATGGCTGAAAATACGCGAGCGTCTTTGTGGTTGTGTCCTATTGCGCATATGCAATGAACACTGGAAAGGGAAATAAACATAACAGAAAACCCAATCGGGCAGTTATGTCAGCTATGTGTATATTAGGCATAATTTGGGATAATTAGGCATAAATTGAATCAAATATTGGTTCGTTAAAATGTAAATCACGTGAATATAATATCAGGCGTGACGCTGTGGTATGAGCTGTAGGTCGTCGTGCCACTCGTGATAATGCCTCACGTGTATTTCTATAATCAATTATCATTATTGTCAAGCATCAATATACAATGGGTTTTCACAAGGTGCCGCCTACAAACGCGAAATTAAACATGACCCATATATTCTCTTACACTTCATTTAGAGCGCATAACCGGTTATGCATTAATTATTACGTTAACGTACAACGTCCACACGAAAAAACCCATTGTTATTACGTATTTAACTTTACTGGAAAAACAATTATTAGATAGCTACCAGGCGTGAAACCCATGGCGTAGATAGATGGACTGGGCGCATGCAAAGTCATCGGCGATGTTATCGTCAGTGAAATCTGCAATGTGTAGTAGAAGTGTGTCAAACTTTGCCCCTAAATTGAGCGTATAGTATAAGTATGGTAGTACAACTCCGCTGAACTCACTGGAAGATTATACTAAGCACATTAGCTTAATTGTGGTTGTTGACCTGGCTGCTGGCTAAACTAGAGGGAATATATAGCAAACGTAAATTACTCAAATAAGCATGCACAATACCCGCTAATCCGTGCGTGCAAATAAATTTCCGCGAATCTGCTATGAAAAGAAATCGCAAAATCGTCGACATCTTCTGTCACGGTCGAACTACGAAATCATACTGTGCCCCATTTTGAAAGCCAGTTCTTTCTGAAAGCCACTACGTAGTCGTTTCGATTGAAGCCTTACGAAGAAATCATTGCATATTTTATCACGTCAGTTACGCGACTGTCGGTAGAAGCAGGTAACAGACGAGTCTGGCCATGTACAAGTATTCAAATTGTGGCGGCAGCGGTGTACGTACCTATGCAATCCGTATTGCAGAAATTGGGAAAGTTGCGTTGTTGGTTGCTAGGACTCGCGTCGCTTGCATTGCACCAGAACTGGTCGCTGATGACGAAAATGCCCCAGTCGTGGCTGCCGTCCGCTGCTGGCCCACGGTTGATGGCCGTGTTGAACTCACTCTGGTGCGCGGCAAGACACACCCCTGTACGCATACGCATTACTTCATTCAGATTATATGTATTTCATTCTAGTACTGGGTCTTGGATTTTTTGAGTCAATTCTATATACACGCACGTGCAACAGGCTGGGTTTATACGAAGAACAAGGAGTAATTACTGATTTTATAGATTCGTCGATAAACCGACCGAAGTGGCAGCGCAGGCCAAGATGAATCACAATTGAAAGATGCCGTAACTTGATGCAATAGAAATTTAACTATGTTTTATCTACGGAGCTAACCTCGGGTAACGTGGGCATTAAGTGAGAAATTCTAGGTCATCCTTCATATCGTGTCGTAAATATCACATTTGCGATCTTTTGCAAATGACTATTATTGTCATGACTACGCGTGAATACACCTCTCTCGAGGTCGGTCTAACATTAGTTTAACAGCTAAACATGGGTATATATTCAACTATCTACACTATCTCAACTAATTCCAAGTAGGTGCTAAATGGGGGGAGCGTGATGATACAATTAACGTAGAACAAAGCACCTTTTACAAAGGTCGAATATATATTAGTTTATCGCAACTATGGTGCTATAGGATGAATTTCACATGCCCGTCTACAATTAATCGTGACACTACCCATAAAGATGTAATCCATATTTGATGTCTTTGTTGTTGCTCTGTTAAATGAAGCGCCATCAGTCTAAATATGACGTGAATTGCACAGGTATTATTTTATTTTCTCGGTCTCACTGCCTCCTTATATACATCCAAGCAGGAGCTTATAAATGGAATTCCATTTATAAGTTCCTGATCCAAGCATGATCGCAGATACACGCCCCTATATACGCATTGATATATATATTTATTTATTTATTTATTTGTATATAATATATATATTGCCTTAGGACTAAACAAGATCGTTACACGTATTTCTGGTATCAATCCCTAAACAGCACTATATTATGTTCAAATATGTGGCCACACATCGCGTACGAACTCGATGTTTGTGGAATAGAGACAATTAGGCGTGTTCACACACAAGAAAAACCGCGATGCTAATCGCGATGGAAATACCGAGATAATTGTGTCATTGTTCACACAGGCGGAAATATCTCGCTAATTGCCGAGCGGGATATTTCTATTAATCGAACTGCGCATGCCTGATATCAAGCCGGAATATAACCCTTCCGGTCGCGCGCGCGCGAATTATGTACTACCGGGATTCGAGTTCGGTGTTCGATTCCACGTACACGGCAGTGCAGTCGTTGTCTAGCTCTGTTACGTTAACGTATGCTACTCTAGCTCTATTACGTTAACGTATTCTACTCTAGCTCTGTAACGTTAACGTATGCTACTCTAGCTCTGTTACGTTAACGTATGCTACTCTACGTCTGCACGTATTTACGTAAACACATCGTATGATGGGATAGAAAATACCGGGATTATTTGCGCGAGCGTTTACACACACGCCGCGGTGCAATTAATCGCGCTAATTCCCAAATATCGCAGTCAAAAGTGCGATTTGCAGCGCGATGCTGATCGCGATATTTAGTGAGATTTTTGCGTTCACACTTGTAAAAATCTCGGTATTTCGATCGCGATACAAAATCCGAGATTTGCATCCCGCTAATTCCCGCCAGTGTGAACGCGCCTAATGGCTCCACGGAGAATACACAAACAACCAGAAAATTGACATCGTACGAATAACACTCATACCCAAGTATTGTGTTACGTTATACAGCGCTCTTGACGATTGCACTTACAGTCACCGAGTTGGGAAGGTGGTGCTCCTAACTTGAGAATTTCCGTCGCAAACTCGCACCGCTCGAATATCCTAGCAGCGGACACACTCAGGCAGGCCAGCAGGCAGAGCAAAACACATCCATTGCCTTCCATCGTTGTGGGAACTGCAGACAAGCAGACAAAGAAGCAGTCTCTAACCAATCTAGAAGTAGCCGCATATGAATGCTCTATGTAAGCTCCAGTGTATAATTATAACCGCCGACGTTTTTGCAATCTGATTAATTGTCACGACGTCCGTGTCGGGAATTCCGATTACCCATCTGAGCATCGCAAACGTCTCTAACGCGCCTCCCACATACCAAGCAACACCGGAAGATTTATCGCCAGGTAAGGCTACTTATTCAACGCAAATGTGATCAATTTATTAAAACTGCCAAGTTCTCCGTACCGCGCAGCTGAAAATTATTTTGATCGCGCTTTTCCTATGCGTGGTCCGGTCCGTAGCTCGGCTCACGGCGAAGTAGCTACGGCGAATTGGTCGTTCGTGTTTGCCGTGTAAATAGCATTGGCGCAGTAAAATAGACCGTTGTCTGGAGTTAATAAGCGTGTTCGGCTGAATTGCCGAGTTTGACCCATAAACCGAGGCTCACGCGCGCCGAGTGGTGCAGCAAAAAGTCTTGTAATAGCAGAGGACACGGTGGGCGACCGTCACCGTAAGCCAACTCCGCTCTGCACCGCCGACCCGACCTGAGCAAGAAAGGCGCGCTGTATTCGAATTCTCTCTGGAGTGGAATACCGATAAATTGAGTAGTGATGAATCATTGCTATCGGATTCGAACAGCCACGGTCGGATAGGTTATGCATAGACGAGTGCTTTGTACTCTGCCATGGGATTATTCGATTGTTAGTGAATGGAATCATTCACTATACATAAGAAATAGGTTGTACGTGTAGGCGGAAACGTTACCACGCAGGCGAATCAAGATACCATGCAGATTGTAAACATGGCCGTGACCATGATGTGCGGCATGTACGGGGCGCCATGCAGGACAGGCATTTTTGTACCTATAAACTTGACAAAAATGAGTTTTGTGAACACAAAACTCAATTCTGTCAATCCTGTACCACAAAACTCAATTTTGTGAACACAAAACTCAATTCTGTCAATCCTGTACCACAAAACTCAATTTTGTGAACACAAAACTCAATTCTGTCAATCC